TTATTAAGAAGTTTCCAGAAAGATGCCGTTTAAATTTCTATTCAAATGTATGCACATGATGGGCCTGTCCACTTGGTTGTGTTTTGGGTGCCTTGGTGCAGTTGTACAATATTATCATTCAACATGCATAGCACAATAAATGCCTAACTCTGCACACAGAGATGCACAAAGCATGACACTGGCATAGGGCCTTGACTTAAAAAATATTTTATGCTCTATTGTATATTAGAAGTCAGCATGGCATAGTGGTTTGGGTGCTGGACTACAACTCTAGAGACCAAGGTTCAAATTCTTACTCAGCCATGGAAAACCACTCTCAGCCCTCAGAAACCCCTGTGATAGGTTTTCCCTTAGGGTCACTATAAGTTGGAAATAGTTGGAGGTTGCACAAAAACAAATTTGTTTACATTTGTTTTATACTGTTGTTTATAACATCTTAGAAATTTTTATGTGTACTGCTTAGAGATTTTGTTCATCTATATACATTAAGTAGTATACACAATAAATGAATGAATGAAGAAAAAATTAAACTCTGGCTGAGATCCTGGATCAGAGGCTACAATTTGTGACTTCATAAGGACATAGTTATGGCTCTGAGAATATGCAACCCTTCTAGTGAACTGTAATTATCCATATCAGGGCATGTTGCATAGTGTCATACTGCACAATGGGTCCTGCTGTCCAATGGGGGCTCCTATAGCAGAATGGGTCATTTCACAGGATGTCCCATAATACAACTGGAATCCCCATTGGGTAAAAGAACCCATTGTACTATGGACGTGATTCCAGTGGTGTAACTACCTCTCTGCTCCTGTCTTGTGGGGTCTTGGTATCCTTCAGGGTTTGGTTCCAGGACCAAAATCCATGGATGCTCAAGTCCCTATATATACAGTGGGTAGTAAAATGGTGTTCTTTATATAAAATGGCAAAATCAAGGTTTGCTTTTTGGAATTTATTTTTAAAATCTTTCAATCCATGGATGGTTGATTCCATGGATGTAAAATCCATGGATCTGGAGGGCCACTGTATGAACAGAGAGCAACAGAACAATTCAACTTTATGTGATGTTAAGATGGTTTGTAATGATGCTACTTGCCAACACAATTTCATATGTAGATATGTTATCAGCCCTTTACCCAGCTAGACACTTCCAATCCAGCAACAAAATTCTTCTTGTACTTTACAATGAAGACAAAAATGTGGAAAAGAGAGTACTAGTTTCCTTCTTTGCTTGCAATGCACCCAGATGAAAGTCACAGCTGGAAACAGAATGCTAGGAAGAGCTTGCAAAAGTAAATTTTTGAACAACTGTTCCCAGAACTCCCAGCAAGCAAGTTGAGATTTGCATTAAATAAGGAGAAGGAAAAGATTGACCTGTGAATTGATTTACCTCAACTGTGTTTTAAAACTCCCAACTATTGTTCTCCTTGTCACTTGAATTCTGTAGAATAAAATTCAGTGTTACAAAGAATCAATGCCCATGAAAGAGCTAGAACAAAATGGGAGTGTGAATAGTTTAGATTTTAGGAGCATTTATGTAGCTTTTGGCAGTAACTGGTGACAGTAATTTTTCTTTTAGAAAATCAGATGGGAAGCCGACCCATAGTGAGCAGCATTGGATCCCCCCACGTATGACCTGGCCAAGTTTCTGGCCACACAATTACAAACCAATATAAGGCAAAAAAACAAAAAAACAAAAACAAAAAAAACCCACTATATCAAGGACTCTGCTCACTTCACAGAAAAAACCAACAACCTAGAACTAAAATCTGGAGGCAGACTAATCAGCTTTGATGTGGTCTCCCTGTTCACCAAAGTCCCCATAATGGACTCTATGGCACTCATCCAACAATTTTTTCTAGAAGACATCACAGCCCTGTTCGAACATTGCCTCACCACAAGCTACTTCCAGTGGGACAATGGATTCCACAAGCAGAGAGATGGGGCAGCCATGGGTAGCTCTCTGAGCCCCGTGATAGCAAACTTTTACATGGAAGAAAAACAACCACTCAAAGGGAAGGTATTTTTTACCATACATCAAAGGAATCAGACAGAATAGGGAAACTGATGAGGAAACACAACCTCCAAATGATCTACAGATCAACCAAGAAAATCCAGGAAATGCTGCACTCAGTGAAGGATAGGAGACATCCTCTCATGGCTGCAGGAGTTTACTGTATACCGTGCAACTGTGGACAAGTCTATATAGGGACCACAAAGCACAGTGTTCGAACGTGAATCAAAGAACACAAGAGACACTGTAGACTGGGCCAGCCTGAAAAATCAGCAGCAACAGAACACATTATAAACCAACCTGGGCACAAAATGCTATTTGAAAACACTGAAATTCTGGACTATACCATGAACTATCAGGTCAGAATGCACAAGGAATGCACAGGGAAGCCATTGCAATCCACAAACACCTGGACAATTTCAACAGGAAAGAAGAAAGTAAAGTTTGGCTAGCAGTTCTCAAAAACACCAAAATCAGGACTCAGTAAAAGCAAACAAACTTCACCCAGGGTCAGGGGGTTTCTCAGCAGACAATGGACCATTAATTAAATAGACACTAATCATCCTGGCATATCCTTCCACCCTGAGGCTTTACCTCAACAGAACAATACACAGATTTACATGCTAATTTACATGCTAATTCCCAGCTAACAATGGACCATTAATGAAATAGACATTAATCCTCCTCGCATATCCTTCCACCCAGAGGCCTTGTCTCAACAGAACAATACACAGATTTACATGCTAATCCTCTCAACCAAGGGTCACAGAGTATATATACCCCACACACCTCCATGCCACCATTCTCTGAAGATGTCAGCCACAGATGCAGGCGAAACGCCAGGAATGCATTCTTCAAGAACACAGCCTCACCATCTGAAAAAAACACAAAAAACTATGGCTGCAATGGTTTAAAAAATGATGGCATCTGTTTTTTAAACTGCTGCTGATTCACACAGTACAAAGATCCACACCATTCTGGTCAGATTGTACATCCAAAGCTGCATCTGCACTGCAGAAATAATCCAGTTTGACACTACTTTAACTGCCATGGCTCAATGGTATGAATTTGTAGTTTGGTGAGATATTTAGCCTTCTCTGTCAGAGAGCTCTAGTGCCACAACAAACTACAAATCCCAGAATTCCATAGCATTCAGCCATGGCAATTCACGTGATGTCAAACTACTTTATTTCTATAGTGCAGATGCAGCCTAAGTCTTACCAAAGTCTGAAAAAGTTATCTTCTTGAAGTACAACTGCTATGATGGCTGAGAATTCTAGGAGTTGAAAAAAATCAATTTTTTTCCTTAGAAAAAGCACAAGTTTTGTCAACTCTGGGTCCCATACACACCCAGAGACCCACCTGTGAGCCAGTTCCAAGGCAATATTAGACAACATGCAGGCATTTTCACACAAAGTCAGTTCCCTCTTCGTGCAACAGTTAGGCCTTATGTATCACCAACAGCAGGTAGTTTTCCTCCATTACAGAGAAGGTGGCCTATAAATAGCACCAAACAATTCACGGCACCTTCTGCCATCCACAACATCTTTGTCTGAGGATGTGCTGGAAGTGCCACACATCAGTTGTAAGTGGGTTGGTTCTTCAGTCTCTGCTCAAGGGCTCTTCAGTTCCACACTTGGGCTCCAGCAGGCAGGCATCCTTCCCATATGCATTTCAAGTGCATTCATAAAAGCAAACACACATCACAAGTCACAGAGAAAAAGTCATTCTTTTCATGGAGTGTTATTGCCTGACCTAAATCAGTCTTTGCCTTTGAATCAGTTTATGTTGCTAGTTATTTAGTAGATTGATTGCTGCTATGGCAACTGCACATCCCGCTTGGCAGACATAAGCATTAGTCCTTGATGTGTTCCTGGTGAACGATTCCCTCTCCAAGTGCATTTTGCATTCACTGAAAATTAGAAAATATTTGGGGAATTAATTTGCTTTGACATTCCTGATATCAAGCTCATATTGTTTTGCAAAGATAAAAATGAGCCTTGAGGTGTTAACAAAAAAAGAAAAGGGAGAAAAAAAGATGGGGGGATGACTGCTTTTCTTTCCAAATAGCAACAAGCTAAATGGGTAGAGCTGAAAACAAGCACTGCCACATCAATTCTCCTTATCTTAGGCTTGCAAAATTTGTAATCAACTGCCAAACTGGGAGTACACTTCAGAGAGGCTGGATGAGACAGCACTGGTCCTAAAACATCATAGACAAATACATGTTTCTCTCATTTTTTCCTATACTGGGGAGAGTTAATCCAGTTCTCTTCTCCTCTGCACAGGTCCTTCTAATAATTTAGTGGATATTTCAGAGTAGGAAAGAATCTGTTTGTACATCCTGGGTTCATACCTAGTTCTCATGGAATAAGCTGGAAAAGGACATTGGCAGGGTCTTGGGAGAGCTGTTGCCAACCAGGGCAAGCAATACTGGTATAGCCCAGAATTTGGAAAAATTATTTTTTGGACTACAACTCTGTGTGGCTGTGCATCCTGAGAACCATTGGGAATTGCAGTCCAATAAGATAATTTTTCCATGTTCTGTCCTAGATGGACCAAATACCCTAATTAGTGTAAGATGCTGTCCTACATTCTTGAAAAAGAGATGTTGGCAAGTAGAACACTGTCCTTCCTAACTACACTGAAAATCAAAGTCATGCCAGAAGGTCAATTGATTGCTTAGTGAGCTTTTCTCTTTCTAAGAAGGGACACACTCAAAGTAGCAGAAGCTACTGAGAATAATGAGAAACACAACCCCATGAAACCATGGCTAAATATAAGCATTCCCTGATGATTTCACTGCTGAGAGATATCCTTTCAAGATATAGAAAGCACATGGATGTCATAAGCAGGTTGAAAAGCAAATATCCCAGTTTCCTTCCTCTGGCTAGGCTTTGAGTTTCCTAGGTGTTGAACAAGGCTTGAGAGAGACTGACCTGTATTAAGATTTCTGCAACAAATAGCAGACACTGAAATACTGGACATGTGTGTATGTACGTCTGCCTTCAAGTTGCCTGTCAACTTATAGTGACCCCATGCATTTCATAGGGTTTTCATATGCAAGGAATACTCAGAGATGGTTTTATCAGTTTCACAGAATCATAGAATTATAGAGTTGGAAGAAACCACAAGGGCCATCCAAACCAACCCCCTGCCATGCAGAAACTCCCAATTAAAGCATCCCTGACAGCCTCTGCTTAAAGACCTCCAAGGAAGGAGACT